CTTAGAGCGCCTGCCAGTACCTGAAGGGGCTACAGGAAGGATGGAGAGGGGCTTTTCACAAGGGTGTGTAGTGATGGGACAAGGGGGAACGGCTCTCAACTAAAAGAGGGCAGATTTAGATTAGATATGAGGAAGAAATTCTTCCCCATGAGGGTGGTGAAACACTGGCCCAGGTTGCCCAGAGAAGCTGTGGCTGCCCCATTCCTGGCAGTGCTCAAGGCCAGGTTGGATGGAGCTCTGAGCAACCTGGTCTGGTGGAAGATGTCCCTGCTGATGGCAGGGGGGTTGGACCCAGATGGTCTTTAAGGTCCCTTCCAACCCAAACCATTCTGTGATTCTATGATACCTTCAGTTAACTCTGTAGAAGTGTAGAATCCTTTTCTCAGCCTCTGAGAAAAGGATTTTCCCAAGCGTCAAAATTTGAATTCCTGTGTGAATTTTTAACGTGTTCTGCTTCATAGGCACAATCAGGTTTCCCACAAAGATAAAAAGCTGCCTTTGCAAAGGTAGAGCAAATACTCCCTTTGGTGAGTGGGTTTTTGGAAGCAACACATCTCAGATGGGCAGGACTCCTGAATCCCTACTCAGACGTGTCCCAGGCCACCATGGATGTGCTGAACAACAGCCCAAGCTGGTGCAGGACAAGGAGCCCCAGGCTGTGAGGGGAGGAGGGTTTCACTCCAGACCCAGCAACAGTGACAAATCCTCAAGAGACAGAGATGAACGAATCCAATACCTTCCCACTGCGGCACACACCATAAATCCCAGCAAGCTGGCTTTTCCTCATGCGGCCACTGCTGCAAAGTCAGATTTAATTCCTTAGAGGTGCAAGGACATGTCATCAAACTCACAAAATAACTTGCTTTTGTAAGTTCACAACCCCTGAAGAACACTGAAGTCTTCTGGCAAATCATTTCCCTTCCCACTACACACTGAGATGCCTCGGATGCAGTCTGCCTAGAAACTATAAAATCTGAAAAGATTTTCTATTTCATATTGCTTGAGCTTCCCTACCCTACCTTCACTCATTTCACAAAACGAGGAGAAAAAGGAGGTGTCACTTGGCTTGCTTATATTTAAGTATCTGCTTCAACCAACATTTGGATAGTGTCTTAACGTGCTTCAGTTCCAAGACATTTCTTCTCCAAACAGACCAAGGCTTTCTTTACACAGTATATGTCAACAGGCACCAGATCAAGTTAGTGTTAATACCAACTGCTTACAGTTTTAATTCCACCATGCCTACTGAAGCATCACCATTTCTCTTAAAGAAAAAAAAAAAAAAGAAAACTTGCTTTAAAAATCCTGGCAGAAGTGAAAGCCCACAATTCCCACTGTATCTATAATTAAAAGGAAAAGTCAGTGAATCTTCTCTTCAGAACTTCACAAGTTTAGATTATATAAACAGCCACCTTGTCCACAGGGTTATGGGCTTTAAACGTTCCCTCTTTGAGGGAGCCGCTTCACACCATGAGAGGAGCCGCTTCACACCATCTCACCTCTCCCCAGCCTCCCCACACACACCGCCCTGCCTGCCAACGGCAGCAACTATCCCCAGCCCTACGAAAAATAGCCGGATGAATCACCTTCGGATTCATAGACCATCTGTTGCGCACCAAAGCGACGTGGACGCATATGCCGATTCTCCTGTGGAAGCCACGCTGCTGCAAGCCCTGCTGCAGAGAGCTCAAATAGAGA